GGCGCTTGATCGGAACATTCTAGTTCCTTTTCTTTTTGTTTAAGCTTTTGTCTTTTCATGCATCGACGCACGAACTCTCTGGGGTAACCGTTTTTTGAAAACAGTGTGAACAGGTCATTGAGTTCGGCTTGGCAGAGGTCAGGGTTAGAACAGTGCGTTTTTGCTCGATTCATTTAAAAATGTGAACTGCTCTTCACACTATTTCCTCGCGTCCCAAGACGACCTAGCGTGCTAGCGTCGAAAATTAACAAATAACGTTTATTGCTGTTTCCCGGAGAATTTCTTCTATCAAATTACGATATGTGGAAAGTAATTGCCTGTTTACACCACCATTAGATAGGAATTAACCAACTGATATACCCCTGATGATTACTTTTGGTTCTGCAGTCATCAGCATGTTCCTCGGTGACATTATCACCGCGTGTGCGCCATGTACGTTCCCCGCCCAGTTACGCCCCAGCATGTGAGGTTTCATTGGACGACCGAATTCTAAGTGACCACTCTCTGTGACAAATCATTGCGCAGCAACTTGCCTCTTATATATATTGCATTACCTGCTTTTGCCAGTCGATATCATGTCTGTTCGACTGCCTCGTCCCCATTGCGGAAAAGAAATGTTTATAACAACGAATACGCATTCACTTTCTACATTCTGGCATGCGATTCAAAATGGTACAAAAATTTGGAAAAAGCGCGAAAGTACAAAGCGTCGTACAGACCTTTTTCTGGAAAATAGTTGGACTTCTTTGAAATAAATCTCAAAATAATATCTTTCCGTTGCGCTGCTGTGCGTAAAAATGTTGGTGATCACACGCTTGATTTCAGATATGTAGATCAATGCTGTTTACATTCATTTTTGCAATCTGGTGCTTTCCGAACATCCTAATCTACACACTGCCACCTCAAATGCGGCAATGGAGGTTTCACGGGTGGGCCTTGCTGGCCTTATCGAAAGCAGCATTTCTTTTATAAGGTCGCACGGTTTCTGATAAGCTACGTATAATGTAGGAGGTTGATGCATTAAAACAAGTATATAGTTTGCTACGTAGTTTCGATGACATGGCAAGTTCCTGCAAACTACTCCAGCTATGAAACACCTTGTGTCAAAGTGTCGAAGGGGGGTTAAGGGGGTGGTTTACATGCACAATTCTGACTGGATTTTTTACTTTGTCGAGCAAACACCTGTGGCCTTTTTCCAACAAGTACTTCCTTTCTTCAACA